AACACACAGGTCCTGCCCAAAAGAATTCAACCCAAGCCTTCTTTCAGCCAAAGACAAGGTTTATTAGAACATCCATCATTTTGGGCAGACTCTTAAGGAGTCTAAACATGGGTGAGCAGTGACTAGATTAAAAGAATGCCAGCAGTGGCTAGATTTTAAGAATCTCAGCATCTTAATGGAGACAAGATGGACCTTATATACAGAAAGCCTGTGGGAGGGATCTAGGAGTGGCCAGTAAACTGGGGTGAACAGAACTCCTGGGACTTGGACCGCCAGACCAAGGGAGAATGGAGCCTAGCTAGGATTAAGGGTGGGAAATGGCCAGGGGCCATAGGGAGGTAAAACAATGGAAGGCCAGGCTAGGTTAACAGAATTGGGAGATTGGATGTAGCCACAATGAAGGGCCAGTTGATGGGATTATAGCCTCAGGCTTATAGCCAGAGATTTGGCCACGTGGAAAAGTCTAGGATTTTTCCTTTCTGGGGCCCAGATCCCAACCCCATCAGTAGGCGACCCCAAAAGCCTCCCCTTTCCCAAGAATATTAAGATTGAAAATTACTCCTCTTATATTATGGAAACAAGGGTTGTAAAAAAAAAGTATTAATAGAACTTCTTTCTTAAAGAAAGAGAATTATGCCCTCCTTCTTGGCTACAATCAAACCTTCAGACTTAATCTTAAGTAAGTTTTTTGGTTGTTCAGTCGTTTGGGGTTTTCTTGGCAAAAATACTGGGGTGGTTTGCCATTTCCTTCCCCAGCTCATTTTACAGATATAAGGGAACTGAGGCAAAACAGGTTAAGTGACTTGCCCAGGATCACTTGGCTAGTAAGCTAGATTTGAACTCAGAAAGATTACCCACTGCTACCTAGCTGTCCCAAGGCAAGTTTATAAAATGAGAATGACTCATAGGGTTAACCCTCCCCAAGGTATTTACATTTTATTTTTTAAAATTAATTAATTAATTTATTTTTAGTTTTCAACATTCACTTCCAGAAGATTGAGTTCCAAATTTTCTCCCCATCCTTCCCCTCCCCTACCCCAAGATGGCATGCATTCTAAATACCCCTTCCCCCAATCTGCCCTCCCTTCTAACACCCTCCCTCCCCCATGGTATTTACATTTTAAAAGAAGAGCAAGTTAACCCAAAAGAATTTCTAATTTGGGAAACAGTGAAAAAATAGTTTTGAGCCTTTCTTTGTTTTGGGGAAAACCTACAGTTGTTAGCCCCAACTTGGCTTCTCCTCTTTGTAAGGCTGATGACTTTTTTTTTTGGCAATGGGGTTAAGTGACTTGCCCAGGGTCACAGAGCTGATGTGGTTTAGGGGTTCAGGGGTGCTGGGACCCCAAAATCACAACACGCGGGTCCTGCCCAAAAGAATTCGACCCAAGCCTTTCAGCCAAAGACAAGGTTTATTAGAACATCCATCATATTGAGCAGACTCTCAAGGAGTCTGAACATGGGTAAGCAGTGATTAGATTATAAGAATCTAAGCAGTGGCTAGATTTTAAGAATCTGAGCCTCCTAATGGAGACAAGATGGACCTTATATACAGAAAGACTGTGGGAGGGATCTAGGAGTGGCCAAGTAGTTTGGGGTGACTGGAGGAGGGGTCTAAGGAGATCTGGATAGGAGTCACCAGTAAACTGGGGTGAACAGAACTCCTGGGACCTGGACAACGGAGTCTAGCTAGGATTAAGTGTGGGAAATGGCCAGGGCCTTAGGGAGGTAAAACAATGGAGGGGAGATTGGGTGTAGCCATAATGAAAGGCCAGTTGATGGGATTATAGCCTCATGGGACCGCCAGAGATTTGGCCACATGGGAAAGTGCAGGATTTTTCCCTTTCTGGGGCCCAGATTCCAACCCCGTCACAGTTAGTAAGTGTTATGTCTCTGAGGTCGCATTCGAACTCAGCTCCTCCTGAATCCGGGGCCAGTGCTCTATCCACTGCACCACCTAGCTGCCCCTAATCAATGTAATGGTAAAACTCATTTGCACATATACAATCACAAAATCTGATGGTAGGAAGAAATCTCAGAGGTCATAGAATTTAGAGCTACGAGAGAGGTCTACCTAGGGTGAGGTGATCAGCACTTTGTGGTAGGGCGCCAGAATTTAGTTTAGCACCTTGTTAGAAAGAATAGTATCTTAAATAGGAAGCCACCAGATAGTGTGCTTCTCCCTTTACCTCTTCCTGAGTTGAATCCCAACTTAAGATTCTACTTAAGTTCTTCCCTAGTCTCCTATCCAGTGGGGGGGGCCTCTCCAGCAGCAGCTTTATAAAGTGCCTAGATCTCTTCCCTCTTAGAACCATCAGTCCAAAGGTCTCTCTCCAAAGTCTCTCCCCTTCAATATTCAAATGAATTTGTTTTTAAAAGGTGATTTGAGGGGACTTTACCTCCTCAGGCAGTCTTGTACAGCTTTTCCTGGGTTAACAAGATACTTAGGCAGGTATCTGCGTATTTAAATTGGACTTGCTCTTAGACCTACACAGAGAGGGAATCCACAATCCTCCAGGCTATTCATTCCCATAAGGGAGAGTTATTAGGGTTAGGAAGACTTTCCTCTTATCAAGCTGAAATCTGCCTCCCGGTAACTTCGAATTCCTAGTTCCCAGTTCTGCCTTCAGGGGCTAAGCAGATCAAGTCCAAATCCTCTTCTATTTGTCAGGCTTCAAATGCTTGTACAAATTTTACAAGTATAAGAGCTTTGTGCTGTTTCTAGGGTCCCAAAACATGCAGATTTCCCTAAAATTTATCTTCAATCAACCATTTGGGCTTGGTTCTCATATTCTTACAGGACAGAGATCTCTGATGTATAGGATATGTAATATGGTTACAAAAAAAAAGAAAAAGAAAGCTGTCCCAACATGATAGGGAGGTAGTTCCATAAAATAGGTGTCTCCATTTTGTAAAATTCCACCTTTGGGAGAGTTGGAGGGTGAGGAAGTTTCCTTTTCTCCCAGCAATGGCTGTTTAACAGATGAATCATTTTAATTCTCAGTCAAGCCTTACTCTTTCGAACTGAAATGACCTGCAGTGTCTGTCCCACTTCGATCCTAGAGACATGAAATAGTAATTTCAATAATGCCTTAATCTTTAATCTTCCCAGTAAGCAAGCGATTGAATGAACCTGTTGTTCAACCCTCAGAAAAGAATCTGATAACATTTTTGAGAGCAGGGGATATAATTTCATTATGGGGAATAGTCTCTTTCCCTTGTCAGTGTTGAAATTCTGCTTTTTATTAGCTGTGTGGCCTTAGGTAAATCACTTTCTTCTCTGGGCCTTAGTTTTTTCATCTGTAAAATTAGGGGTTTGGACCAAATGGCCTTAAAAATCCTTTCCATCTCTAAATTTGTGATTCTCTGATTTTCAAATGTATATAATATATAAATATATTATTTTCCCCCATTAGATGTCAAAACGCTTTTAAATATTTTTTAAAATTTTGAGTTCTAAATTCTATCTTTTTCTCCCTCCTTCCCTTCTCCCCCTCTTTGACAGTAAGCAATCGAATACAGGTTATACATGTACAATTATATAAAACATTTCCATATCAGTCGTTTTGCACAAGAAGACTCAAAAGAAAAGGAATGAAAGAAAGTGAAAAATAGCATGCTTCAGTCTATATTCAGACAATATCAGTTATTTCTCTGGAAGGGGATAGTATGCTTCACATTAGTCCTTTGGGATTGTCTTGGATCATTGTATTGCTGACAATAACTAAATCATTCATCGTTCTTCATTGAACAATATTGCTGTTACTGTATACAATGTTCTCCAGGTTCTGTTTGCTTCACTTCACTTCAGTCCATGTAAGTCTTTCTAGGTTTTTCTGAAATCATCCTACGTGTCATTTCTTATAACACAATAATATTCCATTACAATCATATACCACAGCTTGTTAGTCATTCCCCAATTAATGGGCATCTTTTCCATTTCCAACGCTTGGCCACCACAAAGAGATCGAGTATAAATATTTTTATACAAATAGGTCCTTTTCCCCTTTTTTTTTTTTGGATATCTTTGGGATATAGACCTAGCAGTGTTATTGCTGGATCAAAGGGTATGCAGTTTGGTTGTCCTTTGGGTATAATTCCAAATTGCTCTCCAGAATGGTTGGACCAGTTCACAACTTCACCAACAAGGCATTAGTGTTCCAGTTTTCCCACATCCCTTCTAACAGCCAACGTTTTCCTTTTTTGTCATATTAGCCAATCTGATAGGTGTGAGGTAGTACCTCAGAATTCTCTGATTTCTGAAGATGATGACATACATAGATTTTTTTACCTCATAGAGTTGTTTTGAAAAGGAAATAATTTTCATAGTAATTTTCATTCACAAATTTGAAAATGAAATAATTGCGCAAAGTGCTTTGCAAACCTTAAAGCACAATGTAACTGTCAGTTATTATTATTTTTACTTTTCCAATTTCTCCATCTTCCTATACATAAACTGACGCCATTTTGGGGGTTAATTTTTTAAAGCATCTCTTGGATTTTCCGCTGCATTCTCACTACTCTGCTTTTATCGCCTCCTAGGTGGATGTTTCCTGCCATTCTCTTGATCCCTGAGTTCTCTGCCATCTGATCTAAGCCGAATATTCAAATACTCATCTAGACCTGCGATCTCATTGATTCCGATGTTTTCTTTAATGGTACCCATCGTAACCCTTCCAGGCCTCTCCATCTGGTGGGAAATTAAATTAGTCCTATAAATTAAACACTTCTAATACCACAAGTGAAAGCAGAGTACATATAAATAAACAGAACTAAGGAGCTTCAGCTGATGCATAAGTACCTAGGGCACTTTTTCAGGCAGAGGCCCCGCCCACGGCACCACCCAATTGGCTCGTGGGCTAGGCGTCTGCGCAAATCCACGAATTACAGACGGGAGAGAGGACCGGACGTGACGAGCAAGAGGCGAGAGGGGGCGAAGTGGGGAGAGGCTCGGCGTGCGGAATTCTGGGGCGCTCCGAGGCCACTGACGGGCGGGGAGGCGTACCGCGCAGGCGCGCTGAGCGTGGCGCTGCCAGGCCCGGCCTTTCTTTTCTTTTCTTTTGGGCGGCCGTTGGAAAATGGCGACTGTCACGGAGCTCAAAGCAGGTAGCTGAGGAGCGGGCGAGGAGTCCGGGCAGTTCAGTCTGGGACATAGATGGAGCGGAGAGGCTGCCGACCGGCCGGGGAGGGAACCGGGACGGAGAGGACCGGGTGGGCGGCGGGAGTTGTCAGCCGGTCTGTGGTTTGGGGGTGTTATCCAATTTGCTTTTTTCTGGTGTTTTTAACCCCCTGTTAGATGGGGGGTTAGCAAGCTCCCCGAAGGCAGGGACTTGGCTTTATTTTGCTACTTTTTGTATCTCCAGCGCTTAGCCCAGGGCTTGGCACGTAGTGGACCCTTAATAAATAATGATTGATTATTTGGTCAGTCAGTAAGCATTTATTGAGCGCCTGTAATTTATTTTATGGAAAGATTAGGGGCAGCCCGGCCCTGGGAATACAAAAACAGGCAAAAGAAAAAAACCAGCATAGAATCTACTAGACCCTGGGGTCAGGGGCATGTGGGATCCAAACATTTCTCAAATCCCTAAACCCTGTTCACAGATTACCTCAACATCTGATTCACAATACTCATCCCCTCCCTCCAAACCTTTCGTGACAATATTGTGTGCTGCCAAACCCTCCTCCTTCCCCCCATGCCCACTACTGTGGGGTTATGTAAGCCTGGAATGGGGTCCCGCAAGAGACATCCCTGGTGCAAAAACTTGTCCATTGATGCAGATCCATCAGTCAACTGTAGCTTACCTAATAATAATAGTTAACCTTTCTATAGCATCTTAAGGTTTTCAAAAAGTACAAAATGTCCAAGCTAAAATGCCACCTTCAACAGGAAGACTTTTACTGATCTTTAATTCTAGTGCCTTCCCTTTGTTGGTTATTTCCTCTTTATCCTAACTGTCAGCTTACATTGCTCAGCATATATAGCTTATTTGTACATAGTTGCTTGTTGTCTGCATTAGACTGTGAGCATCTTGAGAGGAAGGACTGTCTTTTGCCGTTGGTATTCTTAGAGCTTAATAGTGCTTAGCACATAGTAGGCTCTAAATGAATGTTTATTGACTGTTTTAAAAGTCCTGCTGTAGTCTTAAGCTGTTAAACCTTTAATAGTTTAAACAGTAACACTTTTTTTGATGCACGCTATATTATCTCATTCGATCTTCACAACAAGCTTGTAAGGTAGTTCTTATGGGCCCCATTTTACAAATGGTGGAACCAGAGGCTTAAAGAGATCTAGGGAATTGCCCAGGGTCACTTGATGATCCACAAGCATTTGTTGCGCGCTTATGATTTGCCACACATTGTTCTAAGTGGCTGGTTTTGAATTTAGGTTCTCCTGACTCCCAGATCTAACACTCTATCTATTGGACTGTCTAGCTACTTAAGTCTGCCCAGGCCCTTGAGAAGTTAAGGGATTTGCCCCTGACCATGGAGCTTGTCTGTACCAGAAGCAGGATTAGAACTCAGTTTGGACAGTTAGGTGGCTGTGGATAGAGTTTAGGCCTTGGAGTCAGGAGAACTTGAGTTCAAATCCACACACTTCGTAGCTGTGTGACCCCTGGCAAATCATTAAACCCTGTTTGCTTCAGTTCCTCATCTGTAAAATGAGTTGGAGAAGGAAATGGCAAATCACTCCAGCATCTTTGCCAAGAAAACCCCAAAAGGGGTCGTGACAAGTCAAGGCAACTGAAAAAGACTAAACCAAATCAGTAACTTTGGAGATTTTGTTTGTTGTCTGTTATGTCCTGATGTGACTCAGCTTACACTATCTTAATCATAACAGCACCTCACATTTTTGTAGTGTTTTGCCTGTATGTTGATGTTTTCTCCTGTAATTAATGTTATGGAAATATGAGAGGGTGAAGGGTGAGAAGGATTCAGGACACCTGAGTTATTATAACTAGGCTCTGCTACTAAGTACTTGTGTGACCTTAGATACTTACTTTCATGAAACTCTCTAGACCTGAGACTTTAACTTATGACCCCTTCTAACTCTTAAGATTCCATAAATTTATAATTTGGTCTCATTAGCTAGAGTAAGAATTCTCTGAAGGAACCATGTCTTGCATTTTTTCCACACTAAAGTGATGACTTGGAGGCATTCTGTATGCAGCTGGTGAAGGAGAAATAAAGTATAGCATAGGTACTCTGTAAATACTTGTTAATATTTGCATAGGCTGCTGGGGTTTTAGCTATACTTACATATACAGATAATTGAGGGATTTAGCATTGTGTAGAAAATAAGTCACTTAAACGGCCATTAAACTTTTAATTACACTGCTTCAGTAACCATATGGAATTTTTGGATTTGCCAAACTTTACAGGTAAATTTCTGAGTGTGTCCATGCTTCTGAGTATTTCCTGCTGGCCCATCTTCCCCAGCCCCCACATGTTTTGGTTCGTTAACTAAAATAGAAACAAAAAAAAAGGTATACAGTTTTTAATTATGTTTTATTTCTGTATGTCATGTGAGTTACCATTGAAAATGGCTAACAGATTAAAAAAGGTAAGGAGAACTGGAGTTGAGGGTTTATAGTACCCTTAAACAGTTATCTGCTAAGTAAATGGAAATGGGGAGGTAGGCTAGTGCTGGGTCCAGAGGTCAGTGATGGTGTTTAGAAGAAGCCCCAAAACTTAGTCTGAGACCATCATTCATTGCTTTGTTGGTAGTGCTTTAAAATTCATTTTCTTTGTGCCCCAAGTTGCTCAATAACAGAATATAAGAATGATCAATGATTTCTCTTGCAATAAAATGTTATGTCTTATTTAATAGTTTTAAAGGATACTCTGGAAAAAAGGGGTGTACTGGGACACTTAAGAGCAAAGATGAGAGCTGAAGTTTTTAATGCACTAGATGATCAAGGTGAAAAACCTCCACCTCTGTCTCATGAAAACCTCCTAATTAATGAACTAATTCGGGAGTATTTGGAATTCAACAAATATAAGTATTCTGCATCTGTCCTTACAGCTGGTAAGTGTGGATTGTTTGTTAAATGAATCATTATTGTTTTCTCTACTTTTTTGGAATTTGATTTAGCTTGATGATCCATTTTCCTCGATAAAAGCAATGGATACTTGAGACTTGAAATAGCCTATTGATCTCTTTTCCAAAGCCTAACCAAGATCTCATAACTTTTATCAGCTTGATAGAAAACAACTTGATAAATGAAGTAACTGTTTTTAAAAATTATTATTTATTTTTAACATTCTTTTTAAATTTTGAGTTCCAAATTCTCTCCCTCCCACCCATGAGAAGGTAAGCAATTCAGTATTTTACTTGTGAAATCATGCAAAACATTTCCATATTAGCCATATATTGCTCTCCCCCCCTCAAAAAAAAAAAGCAAAGTATAAAGAAAGTGAGGAAAATTATGTTTCTGTTTGCACTCAGTTCAGCAGTTCTCTCTTGAGTTGGATAGAATTTTTTTGTCATGAGTACTTTGGAATTGTTTTGGATCATTGTATTGATCGGAGTAATCCAGTCTTTTAAAGTTGATCATTATTACAACATTGCTGTTACTGTACACAATAACCTCCTGGCCCTTCTTGCTTCACTTTGCAAGTGAAGTACTTTTAGTACATGCATATTTTCCTTTTTGTTGATGAGTCAAATGCTTGGTTTTTATTCTGGAGAAGTTTTATTCTTGTGATAATTAGGTATTTTCCTCGTCAATTTAGGTAACAATCTCTTGTTTAGTATTCTTGTTATTAGTATAGGTATTCTTGGTGTCAAATGAAGCTAGAGTTCTCTGTTAACTGACTTGATAATGAAGAACTTTAAAGATAGAAACATTATTAGAATGTACTGAACATTAATTTTTAAAGGTATTATAGTACAAGTCCTGCAAAGCTAGAAATTCTCCAAGTTTTTCAGCCAAAGACCAGTCTGGCTAAGTTTAGAGAAGTTAGTTATCAGTGAGTTTTTCAGTCATAGAAATTCTCAGAGACCAAGTCTGAAATACATGGATTGTAAACTTTTTAGGTGGAAGAAATAATCCACATGAAAAAAATTACACGTAGAGGAAAAATAGTACAAATCACTTAAAAATTTCTGATGTGTAATTTAGAATTTGACCCAGGCATTTATTTTTATTTATTTATTATTTACTTTTCTCATCTCTGCTATATTATGTAGGTAGTATATTTTGCAGCTCTTACCTATTACACTGAATATTTCCATTAATGCTTTAGTGTACTGACATATATGTAGAAATAAGAATTCTAAAGCTCTGCCAAGTAGAACAGCGTGACCATCTTCACATTTGAGAGATCAGAGTGAAGCAAAAATTTTAATGAGAAAAGACCTAACACAAAATATATAATTTTTAGGGGAGGGAGGATGTGCTATTACATATTCTGTAATTATTTGTACCTATATTTAGACATTAGATTACCTTCATCATTTATTAACTTTTAATATTTGTTGAACATTCACTGCTTTGTAAGCTAGTGAAGGAATGAAATGAAGAAACTAAAAAATTAAAGGAGCTTAGTGAGCTTGATGGACAGCTAAGTGACACAGTGGATAGAAAACCAGTCCTGGAGTCAGGAAGACATGAGTTCAAATGTGGTCTCAGACCTTCACTAGCTGTGTAACCCCTCTTTTCCTCGGCTTCCTCATCTGTAAAATGAACTGGAGAAAGAAATGGCAAACTACTCCAGTATCTTTGCCCAAAAAGCCCCGTTTGGGGAGAGGAAGAGTCAGATACCTCACAACAACAAGGAGCTTGAAGTTAAATAAGGCTTAGTGTTAGTGACTGTATATGGTTATGGTTCAAGGCCATTCATCATCTTAGAATAGATAAAAGTGTATGCACCTTTTGGGATGGCGATTTTGTCAGTCTTTATACTATTGAATCTGTTCCTTAAAGAATAGTCAGTCTCACTGATGGAGTGGACTTTGATGCTACTTTTTCCACTCATCTGATTTTGAAGGAAGCATTAATTTTAAACACTACCCGTTCATGAAAATATTGTCTGTCTGGTTTTAGTGAGTTTTTCCCTTGTACTTAACCTAGGGGAAAATACGATGTATGTAGTAGTGTCAGTAGTTGTATAAGTTTAACTGTGTTTTATATGTGTCTTTTAAAAATATTTTTGAAAGAATACCAATTAGTATCCAGATCAGATTTCTAATCTCTTCTGTTGATCATCCTCTTAGAAAATAGACTATTCAATTGATTATACGGGGTGTTTGCTTCCATAACTTTATAAAACATAAAAATGCAACTCTTTGCAAGATTATATTTGTGTTTTATGGTACCTGAGGATTTCATAAAAATAGTCTTACTTTTTCAGAATCTGGTCAACCAGTAATGCCATTGGAGAGACAATTTCTCATTAAGGAATTAAATATATATGAAGACTCGAATGCAAAAACAGTGTAAGAAGTTATTTTTTAAGTTTTCCTTTTTTTGTTTTCTTCGTCCACATCTGTATAGGCACGCAGTTACCTAATGTTTGTTTCAGCTAACAGTAGAAGTTAGTTTGTAAACCAAAGTTTGTAAAATGGACAATTTTGAGCTATTGTGGGAGACCAGATTTTCTTGAAAGGCAGCTTGCAAAGCCAGATATTTTTGCAAATGCTTTCTTAGGTCTGCTCCAATAAACCCTAGCCAAAATTCTTGGCACCATTCAGTGGTTGCCAGGAAAAAAGTTCTCTGAGAATAGAGGCTATATCTTATTGTTTATATGCCCCTCAATAGATACCTAGCACAGTTTCTTTTACATGAGAGGCATAAAGTAAATATTTATAGCTGAATGAATGAAGAAAGAATGTTTGGAAAAACAATGTGAAGAAAATTACTGAATGTTTCTATTTGTTTTCTTGGCCAGAAATAGTCCTTTGGTTTAGTCTTGTTTATTCATAAATTTTCAAGAGGTTTTCTTAATTTCTCTTCAAATAATTCATATGCCAAGTAAATGAGGCTTTAGAGTTCAGTACTATTTAATTATTTCATGAGTAGTAGCATAATACCATGTTATTTCACTTCATTGTGTAGCTGTAGGTAGTTATCTCAGATACAGTACTATTTCTTTACTTTTTTAAAAAAATTTTTTTCTCTTTTTATTTTAATTGTTTCATATTGTGTGGAATATGGAAGTAAGCATAGTATAATTTTAATTAAATAAATGTTGTTTGTTTTTTATAATTTAAACCTAGAATTATTTTAAAAATTAAAACTGCTGTGTGTAATATTTGAGGTAATAGATATTTCAAGAATTTATTTAGAGGGGTTATGTTTAATAAAAGGTGAGAGCTTTGAATGGTTTTTTTTTCTAGTCTGTTACTGCACTGATGGCTAGCTTTTAAAATGTGACATACACATTTCTAGTTTTACCAACTTCTTTTGTGTGTATAACATTGAAAATGCTTAATTAAAAGAGGCTTATTTTATTAATATTTATGATGATGCTTTTTTAGTAAGGAATACCAAGCATATAATATAATAGACTCATGAAAGTTCATCACCTTCAATGAACAGCAAATAACTAAAATGTAGACATTTGTGATATTTAGTTTTTAGAGCAAAAATAAGCCAAAAAAACCCTTTTATTAAATCTATAATTTTAAAATTGAATTGCTTTTTAGTATATCAAGTTAGGCAAAAAATAAATAAATAAATAAAAATTTCAGACCTATGTGAAGGAAAATTTGAGATAATTTTTAAAAATTTCCCCAAACTAGCACAATTAGCATAAAATCAATTTCTTTTTGAGTCAGTTAATTTAGGATGGCATATAATTAGAGCTAGAAGAGACCTTAGAAGCAGTCTGGTACAGGGATTCTTAACCTTTTATGTTTCATGAAACCCTTTGGCATTGGTTTGGGCCCTTCCTCAGAATACGTTTTTTAAATTTATAAAATACAAAGCATTACAAAAGATACCAATTATATTGAAATACAGTTAACAAAATTTTTTTTAAAAGTCCACAAACTACAGATTAACAACCTCTAATGTAGTACAAAACCACCGGCATTCCCCATTTTATAGAAGAGGAAACTTGAGATGCAGAAGGTGAAGTTACTTACCCAAGGTTACCCAGTTAATAAATTGCAGAGCTGGGAGAACCCAAATTCTGTTTCTCTTAATGTTTTTAATCTATTCTATGGTCAAATGACCAAATGGGTTTTGATAGCATAATTTAATGTTTCAAACAAGTGGAACCAATAGTTGTAAAAGAATGAGGAGGAAGCTGTCTTGTTAAAGCTGAATGTTTTTCCTTGTTTTGAAAAAATAATACTTTTGGATTGAACCCTGGTTGAAATTTTGATATACTGCACTGAAAATAAATCTGCTCCTCCAGGCTGATGTTGAATTTTTGGAGTTAGTATTTTACTTGAGTAATACAGTTGTTTTAAGAGTAGCAATTTAACAGATTAATTAACAAATTAACAGATTAAGGCCTAGACATAATCCCTGCATTGAAAAACTGTAGAATGGCAAAGGTGGTAGAGAACTCAGAGATAATAGAATCCTAGATTTAGAGCTGAAAGTTGGCCTTAGATGTTGTCTAGGCAACTTACTCTTTTTACATATGAAAAAATGAACCTGCTCAAGATAATACAAGTAGTAAGAGGCAAAGCTAGGGTTCAGATTTGGTTCCTCTGCTTTTAGATCCAGATGTTGCCACTGTACAACTGCCTCCTGTCAATCCTTGTTCAGATCATGAAAACCTTCTACAGCAGGGGCATAAAACTCAAAAAGAAACTAAACCATACGTAAAGACCCCTTTTGGACCACATATTGACTTAATTTTAAAATACGATGTTTTCTGTGTTTTATTGCATTTTTATTTGTTTTGTTAAATTTACATTTTAATCTGATTCCATTTTAACATTTTAATCTGATTTGGGCCATCCTAGAAATTGTTACAGGCCACATACGCTTGGGACCTATATATCCCTGGCAAGTGGTCATTCAACCTTTGCTTGAAGATCTCTACTGATATGGATAATACCTTATCTGATAATATATCCCATTGTGATTTTAGTTAGCTGTGATTATTAGGAAAAGTTTCTATGTGAGCTAAAATCTCCCAGTAAAATATCTGGTTAGTCCTAGCTCTGCTCTTTGAGGCCAAGCAAGATAAGTCTAATCCTTCTTTAACTAATCTTTCAGCTAATTGAAGACAGTTAACCGTATTTTTGGCAAACCCTCTTTTTCCCAGACTAAACATCCTTAGTTACATCAGTCCTGTATATGGCATTGTTTTAAGTCACTTCATTATTCTGGTTGCCCTCCTTTAAATATTGCTGCTTGTTGGTGTCCTCAAATATGGCACCCCAAACTGGACATAATTCCAAATGGTGGTTTTCCTTGCTCTCGACATTTCACTTCTATAATATAATCCAAAATTGCATTGGTTTCTCTATTACACTGTTGACTCATTTTGTACTTGCAAATTCTTTTCGCATGAACTACTTTGTAGCTGTTTCTCGTCTATCCTATTCTTGAGCCGTGGATTTTTTAAATCCAAGTTTAAGACTTTACGTTTATCCTGCTTAAATTTTTCCTTATTATTTTCAGCCCACTGTTGCAATCTGTAGTGTTTTTTGGATCTTCTCAAATAGAAAAGTTTGTATTTGATCTTAGAGGTGATAGGAAACTACTAGAGTTTAAGTAGGGAGAAACAGCTTTTAGGAATATGATTTTGGCAGGTGTGTGGAGTATGAATTGGAGAGGGCAGAGACTTGAGGCAGGGAGACCAATTATGAAGCTATTTCAAAGTCCTGGCAAGAGATCTCAAGTGTTTGAAATAAAATAGTGGCTATGTGAGTAGAGAGAAGGAGGCATATGTGAGAGATGATGTTTGGAGGTAAAATTGACAATGCTCAGCAAATGTTTGTATGTGTGAGGTGAGGGAAAGTGACTCCAAAGTGCCTGGAGGTTTGCTAGTACTCTTGGGTAACAGGGAAGTTCTGAAACGGAGTGGTTGGAAATTGGAGGGGGGTGTCAGAAATAATGAGTTCTGGTTTGGACTTGTTTAGTTTGAGATGTCTACAGGATACCCTATTCTGAATGTCCAAAGGCAGTTGTTAATATAGAATTGGAATTTAGGATAGAGAGTAGAACTAGATCTAGGAGTCGTTAGGTAGAGATGATAAATACATAGGAACTGATGCACCCACTAAGAAAGAGAACATTAAAGGGTACAGAATAAAGCTTTGGTGTATACTCACAGTTAAGGGTGTATTATGGATGGTGATCTGGTAAAGGAGACCAAGAAGGAAAGGTCATACAGGAAAGAAAGAAGAGAGGACAGTGTCACAAGAATCCAGAAAGAAGAGTATCTGGGAGAAGAGGGTCAGATGCATGGGTTCAAGTTCTGATTTTGTCCTTTAGTTGTGTGACCTTGAGTTGGTCATTCATCCCTAGTAGTCCTTTGTTTTCTTATCTTTATTATGAAGTAGTTGAATTTAGGTAGTCTGTGAAGTCCTTTCAAGGCTTTCTATTATGTATTTGTTGGTGACATATTTTATCTGGAAGGTGTGTAGTAAAATGATATTAGCTATCTTGGATTTAAGAGAAGTATTAGCAGTTGGTATTTATGTCATAAAATGTTTTTTCCCCCAGAAATTAACCTTTTTCAAAATGAATGTTTCTTTCATTTTAATACTTTATCTGCTGCTTTTATTTATTTTATTTTCTCTCTGTCATAGACCTCTTTTGTATGGAATTATAGCTCATTTCTTACATGCGAATAAAGATGGCATCCAAACCACTTTCATAAAAGGATCTTCACTGCAGCTTCCAAGATGAAATTTTGGCAGGCAGTCCAATTAAAAAAACATGAAATATCTGTAAGTTTTTAAAGAAATACATCTTTTAACTGTAATTGAATGTTAATTTCTGTTTTGTTAATGCTACATAATTTTTTCCTTGGAATATTTCATTGTGAACATAGTTTTATTTAATTTTGTACCAAACATTGTTGCACAGTGTTATTAATTCATACCTCCTAGCCTATGCTATACTGAGGGAATCCCAGGGAGAAAATGATCATGAACAAAATTCTGAGATGCAAATTGATCTTTCTTCCCAGAAATAAGAGTTCCTAATGAAAGTTTTGTTGCAGACTGAATCCTAGTACGCTTCAGAGAATCACAGAATTTTAAAGTTGAGAGGTACCTCTGTAGCCATGTAACTTAACCCAAAAAGAAGTCTTTTACAACTACCTGATAAGTGGTATCCAGTCTCTGCTTGAAAACACCCAAATGGGGGATAGGGATAGGCCACAGGGAGAAAAGCAAGTAATCCCCTGCTTCTCAGGACAGCCTATTCCACTCGTGGATGACATTTTACTGATCAGGCCTAAATTTGCCTCTGCACCTCCCACTCATCATTCTTGGTTCTGTCCTGTGGTGCCAAACAGAGCAAGTCAAATTCCTCTTCCATATGACAGTCTTTCAGATCCTTGAAGACAGCTATCAGGCCTCTTCTCTTCAGGCTAAACATCCCCACTTCTTTCTGCACAGACTCAAAATCCTTTACTTTTCTGGTTGCCTTTTCTTGGATTTCCTCCAAGATAATTTATCATTGTCATCCCTGAATATGTCAGATGTATTCTTACTGGGACAGAGCACAGCAGCATCCTCATCTCTTTATTCCTGGAAGCTTAACCTCTCTTCATGTGGCCCACGATTGCTTTTTTAGCTGCCACAGCATTGCCATATCGCATTGAACAGGCTGTTGTAAAAAGAGTATATTTTATCATAGAGGAATTTTTCCAATTTTAAAAGCAAGTTCAATTGTATGAGCCCTTTATATTACTTTTTGACATCTTAAATTCCCAATTCCTGGAGCTATTTATTATTTTACAAATACTTTATACCAACTAACAAAATCTCACTGTATATAAAAGGTATGTAAGCAGTAAACTTAGGTATTCTTTCCCTTTGGGGTGGCATGAGGGGCGGAGTGTTCTTTAGAATTCCTCTAAAGCACCTAGGTTATTTGGGTTTTTGTTTTTGTCTTTTTAAGGCAGATTGACATTTAACTATGTCTTCCCCATTCTGTACTTGGGAATTTTTTTTTTTTTTTGCCCCAGTGTAAGATTTTACATTTACTTATCCTATTGAATTTCATCTTAATAGATTTAGCCCCAGTATTCTGACCTGTCCATTTTTGGGAGATCCTGGTTGTTATCCGTTGTCATCCAGCTATCCCTCCTAATTTTGTATTATCTGCAAATTTAATGAGCATGTCATTTATGCCTTTATCCAGGTCATTTATAGTGCCAGGCACAGATCTCTGGGACATTCCACTGGAGTTCTCCTGCCAAATTGACATCGAATCAGTTAATAACTACTCTTCTTTTTTGTCTAGCTGTTCACTTAGTTGTAAATCTATAGTTCATATCTCTCCATCTTTTCTTAAGAAGACTATGAGATACTTCATCAAATGTTTTGTTCAAGTCTGATTAAACTATACAACACTTCTGATCTACTTTTTTAGTAATAAACTCTATCAAAAAGAAAATAGAGTTAGTTTGTTATGACTTATTCTTGATAAACCTATGTTGGCTTTTTGTAATGAAGCCTTCTTTTTCTGGATGTTCACTAGCTGTCTTTTTAATCCATTAAGGAATTTTCTTAGGAATTAATAAAAAGGAGTTTTGGGGGTTTTTTTGGCATTCATTGGTCTCTGTCACCTTCATGTAAAAATAAGGGAAGAAGAAGCTGACTAAGTAAATATGAATAGACCACTCTTTCCAGGGGATATGGGGGGATGGGTTCTAACATTGGATACAGCAATTTGTTGATAACTGTTCCCATTTCATTTCAAAGCTTTTCCTTTTTCAGTGATCTTTTAATTTTTCTAACAAGGGGGAAAATCTTAATTAGATGTTAGTCTGTCTTTCATACTTTTTTAATACCTTGAGGCTTCTGATTATATCCAATCAAGGAAAGCTGCTCATCTCTCTTTTAAATGTTATACCCCAAAACTAGGACTTAGGAGAAAATTGAATCCATTATTGGCTTATAGCAAATGTTGATTATTCACAGTCCCACTTAGGTTTCTCATACTGCTTACATGACTTGGAGTGAACACTTAGGGAAGTTATCATTACCATTTGAGTTTTCATAAATTCACATTCACCTGCTGGTATTGTTAATGTTTACACTAATGATGACAACTGACATTTAAATATGACTAAACAAAATGGAGCCACCTTAGTCAACTTTGGGATCTCTGGGTTATAAGTCATTTTCCTATAAATATTATAGTGGGTTTTCCTGGTCATTTTTTAAGAAAAACATCCTGTTGAGAAATAGTTTTTCTGGTATCAAGTATACCTGTAAATAAATGTTGTTGGCTATAGGATACATTTTGTTAATTAGGCAAATCACTAAGAGAATTGGATTTAATATACTATTTATTAAATCCAGTACTGATTTATGAAGAAAGAATACCCATCATAAAGAGCTAAAAAGGACTTTATGGATCATCTAATCCAACCCCCCCTATATTTTACAGATAAGAATATTTGACAGCTAGAGGGTTTAAATGATTTGCCTGTAATCACACAGAAAGCAGAGTCAGAATTTAAACCCAGGTCCTTTGACTCCAAATCTTTGCCCTTTCTAATATCCTACATTGCCTTTGAAGCTGTTTTCATTCCTGTCCTCTACTTTTACTGGTTAAGCATTTGGAGTCTTGTGTATCATAGAATGTTGATTGTGATCTTTTCTTCCAAATTATCATAGACATAAAAGGGTAAAGTATAATTCAAAATATATGTTGTTTGGTCATCAGAGATAACTTCTTTCTAAGTAGCTATGACCATTTTGTACAAATACCTGAAACGTATGTCATTTTCTTCCCTCTCATCCACTCCAAAAGCATGATTTACCAATAGGACTTTGTTGTATGATCATTTTGTTTTTGAATGATTTATACATCTAATTTAGAAGATTTAGTTGAATAATGAATGAAATGTCACTAATATTAATTATCTTATATCATCATAGCCTCCATACAACTTCCCCTTCTGCAACTTTATATATCCTTTTCACAAAGGAGAATCGATTTCAGTGTTTCAAAATACCTAATGAAACTAACTAGTAAGACTCGACCTCTAAGCCTGTAGCTGACATGCTATGTCGAAAATACACTGGGCTGTGAGCAAAGAGAGCTAGATTGTAGAGCTACTGGCCCACTTTTTTTGGTGGGGGCCAAGAAAGGTGTGTGTGTGTTTGTGGTCCTGGGCAAGTTGTTACCTCTGTAAAATAATGGAGTTGAACCAAATTATCTCTTAAGTGCCATTTCAGCTTTATGAGTCTGCCTTTGTCTTAATAAGGAAACTTAAAAGAACCCTCCTTCCCCCTACCCCACCCTAAGTTTACTGCTTACGTACCTTTTATTTGCACAGTTAGATTTTGTTAGTTGGTATGAAGTATCTGTAAGATAATAGCTCCAGGAGTTGGAAATTTAAGATGTCAACAAATAATATAAAGGGGCTCATGCAATTGAACTTGCTTTTTTTTAATGTATTTATTTTAAATAGTATTTTATTTTTTTTCCTCCAGTTATGTCAGGAAAATTTTTAGAATTCATTTTTACAGGATTTTGAGTTTGAAATTTTTCTCCCTCCCTTCTTCCACTCTTCTGAAAATGTCAGGCAGTTTGATATAGTTTATACATGTATTATCATGTAAAAATATTTCCATATTAGTCACAGTTGTGAAAGAAGAAACAGAGCAAAAGAAAAATTTTCTCCCTTCCTCCCTCCCCACTCACTGTCATTCAAAAGGCAAGCATCTGGATACAGGTTATAGATGTGTAGTCATGCAAAACACTTCCATAGTAGTCATGTTGTGAAAAACTAAGTATATTTCACTTCATCCTATCCTACCCCCCCCCCATTTATTCTATTCTCTCTTTTGACCCTGTCCTTCCTTAGAAGTGTTTGCTTCTGATTATCCCTTCCCCCATTCTGCCCCCCCCATCTACCCCCTGCTCTCTTGTCCCCTTCCTCCCTTATTTTCCTGTAGGGTAATGTAGATTTCCATACCCCACTGTGTATGTTATTCCCTCCTTAAGCCAAATCCTATGAGAATAAGATTCACTCATTCCATCTCATCTTCCCCCATTTTCCCTCCACTGTAAAAGCCTTTTCTTGTCTGTTTCATGTGAGATCATTTACCCCATTCTACTTCTCTCTTTCTCCTTCTCCCAGTATAATCCTCTCTCACTCCTTAATTTTATTTTCCAGATATCACCCCTTCATTTTCCACTCACCCTGTGCCCTCTATCTGTCTATCTATCTGTCTATCTATCCATACATACAATTTTTTCCCTCCCATTACCCTAATTCTGACAAAGGACTCATGAGCTACAACTGTCTTTCCATGCAGGAATGTAAACAGTTCAACCTTAATAAGTCTCTTATGATTTCTCTTTCCTGTTTACCTCTTCCATGTTTCACTTGAGTCTTGTATTTGAAAGTCAAATTTTATATTCAGCTCTGTTCTTTTCCTCAGGAGTGCTTGAAAGTCCCCCATTTCATTTAATGACCATTTTTTACCCTGAAGGATTATACTCAGTTTTGCTGGGTAGGTGATTCTTGGTTGTAATCCTATCTCCTTTGCCTTCCAGAATATCATACTCCATGCCCTCCAGTCCCTTAATGTAGAAGCTGCTAAATCTTGTGTTATCCTGATTGTTATTCCACAATACTTGAATTGTTTCTTTCTGGCTGCCTGCAATATTTTCTCCTTGACCTGGGAATTCTCGAATTTGGCTGTAATATTCCTAGGAGTTTTCCTTTGGGGATCTCTTTCAGGAGGTGATCAGTGGATTCTTTCCATTTCTGTTTTGCCCTCTGGTTCTAAAATATCAGGGCAGTTTTCCTTGATAATTTCTTGAAAGATAATGGCTTGGCTCTTTTTTTGATCATGGCTTTCAGGTAGTCCAATAATTTTTAAGTTCTCTCTCCTGGATCTATTTTCCAGGTCAGTTGTTTTTCCAATGAGATATTTCACATTCTCTTCTATTTTCATTCTTTTGGATTAGTTTTAGAGTGCCTTGATTTCTCATATAGTTGCTAGCTTCCAGTTGCTCCATTGTCATTTTTAAGGAAGTATTTTTTTTTACATTTAAAAATTTTTTTTTATTAATTTATTTTGATTTATCAACAATCATTTCCATATGCTTTTGAGTTTAAAATTTTTATCCCCCTTCCTCCCCACCACCCTCTCCAAGATGGTGCACAATCTGATATAGCCTATACGTGTACATTCCTGTTAAACATATTTCACATTAGTGATGTTGTAAGTAAAAATTAGAACCAATAGGAGGAACCACCAGAAAGAGGAAACAAAACTCAACAGAAGAGGAAAAAAAATGTCAATTCAACTTCCATAGTTCTTTCTTTGGATGTGGATAGCATTTTCCATCACGAGGCCTTTGGATATGTCTTAGATCCTTGTATTGCTGGGAAGGGTTAAGTTTATCAATATTAGTCACCGCACAGCGTGGCTGTTGTTGTGTACAACGTTCTCTTGGTTCTGCTTACTTCACTCAGCATCAGACCATACAAGTCTTTCCAGGTTTTTCTGAAGTCGGCCTGTTCTTCATTTCTTATAGCACAGTAGTATTCCATTACATTCATGTACCACAACTTGCTCAGCCATTCCCCAGTTGATGGGCATCCTCTCAGTTTCCAATTCTTTGCCACCACAAAAAGTGCTGCTATGAATATTTTTGTACATGTGGGTCCTTTTCCCATTTGTATGATCTCTTTGGGATATAGCCCTAGAAGTGCTATTGCTGGGTCAAAGGGTATGCACATTTTTATAGCCCTTTGGGCATAGTTCCATATTGCTCTCCAAAGGAAGTATTTTCATGGATAAGCTTTTGGACTTCTTTTTCCATTTGACCAATTTTACTTTTTAGGGCATTCTTCTCCTCATTGGCTTTTTGGACCTCTTTTGCCATTTGGGCTAGGCTATTTTTAAGGTGTTATTTTCTTCAGTATTTTTTTTGGGTCTCCCTTAGCATCACTCTCAGTTTTTCCTCTGCTTCTCTTACTTGCTTCTCAAAATCCTTTTTGAGTTCCTTCATGGCCTGGGACCAATTCATATTTTTCTTGGAGGCTTTGGATGTAGGAGCTTTGGCTTCGTTGTCTTCTTCTGGTTGTATGTTTTGATCTTCTTTGTCATCCATGTAAGATAATATAGTCTGACTCTTTTTGCATTGCTTGCTCATGATCCCGGCCAATTACTTGAGTTATAAACTCTTTGTTAAGGTAGGGGTCTGTTTCCAGTGTGGAGAATGTACAGTCCCCAAGCTTCAGGGGTGGGTTTTGTGCAGCTGTTTTCAGAGATACTTCTAGGGGCCTGTAATTTTTCACTTCTTCCAAGGTGCTATGATCAAGGGTGAGGTGTTTACTCCTTTCCTGTCCTGTGCTCTGCTCTATGAGTGATCACAGGCACTCTTTATGTCTTTGAACTGTGAGGAGGATTTCCTCCCCACAGCCACTACAAACTCCACCATGCCAGGGCCCAGGACCACCACCCAGAACTGTGACCCAGATCCAAGCACAGGCAAAGCAAGAGAATCCTGCACCAGCAGAGAGATCCCTGCAATCCCCCTCTGATCTGCCATTTGATTCCCCCTCAGTCTGTGGGCCAGAAGCTCAGGAGGCAGCTGCCGCCCCAGGGCCGAGCTCAGGGCCTGGAGCTGAGACCACCGTGCTTCTCTCTCTCACCACATAAACAGACTTTTCCCACGGAGCTTCTAAGTTTTCTTTGCCATTCATGGGTTGAGAAGTCTGGAAACCGCCACAGCTGCCTGCGATTCAGTCTTCTGAGGCCTACTCCAGGTTCGCTGAGGCCTGCACTCCCACGCTGAACTGTGCTCCTCTCCCATCCCAGCGAGGTATACCTTTCCAATCAACCATCCAGGTTGTCTTGGGCTGGAAATTTGTTTCACTTTGTCTTTTTGTGGGTTCTGCTGCTTTAGAATTTGTTTAGAGCCTTTTTTTATAGGTATTTGCAGGGGTTTGGGGGAGAGCTCAAGCAAGTCATTGCTTTTACTCCGCCATCGTGGCTCTGCCTCTTCCTTTTCCCTTTTTTATGATCTCTTTGGGATACAGACCTAGTAGTGATATTGTTGGATCAAAGGGTATGCACAGTTTGATTGTCCTTTGGGCATAGTTGTTACCAACAGTGCATTAGTGTCCCAGTTTGCCCACATCCTCTCCAACATTTGTCATTTTTCTTTTTTGTCTTTCATATGCCTATAGATAGCTTTGATTTCTTCATCTGAAAATTCCCTGTTCCTATCCTTTGACCGTTTATCAATTGAGGAATGGCCTGTATTCTTATAAATTTTTACAAATTCTCTATATGTTCCAGAAACAAGACCTTTTTCAGAGATGCTTGCTGTAAAGATTGTTTCCCAGTTTTCTGCTTTCTTTTTAATCTTGTTTGCATTGGTTTTATTTGTACAAAAGCCTTTTAATTTAATATAATCAAAATGATCTATTTTACATTTTGTAATGCTCTCTATCTCTTGTCTGGTCTTGAGTACTTCCCCTCCCCATAGATCTGAGAGGTAGACTATTCCTTGCTCTTCTGATTTGCTTATGGTGTCACCCTTTATGTGTCAATCATGTACCCATTCTGACCGTATCTTCATATGAACGTGCTTTTAAAATTGAAGAATTCCTTTAAGATAAATTATAGCCCTTTTTTATAAATCTGTTCTAAGTTTACATTCATTTCTGTTAATTTTTTGTATTCTCCCACCAAAAATGAGCATTTCTTATTTTAGTGTCCTTATTTTATTCTATTATTCAAAATTCATTGTATTCCAAGATGCGTTTCAATAAAATTATGTATTTACCTACATCTCTGCAGCCTAATTATCTTTGAAAACTCATTGTTAACTGTTAGTCCACTCTTAATCTTCTACATTTTACCACTATTAAAATATTCACACTTTGTATTTGTCATAAGAGAAAATAAGTAAAGTGGATAAAATATTCATTGTTGCTATAAGAATTCTCTCTTTAAAAAAAAAAGAATTCTCTCTTTTTAATTTTTAAGGCATAGTTGTCATATATTCTGTAATTCCTGGAAACTTTAAGTGATTTTAACTCATATTTTACTATAACTTATGGAAATTCTCAGTGAATGCACAAAGACGTTTTTAAGGATAATAGTATGAGAACTACCAGGTAAGTTCTCTTCCTACCACAAGAGGGTGCTCTGGAAGCAGAAATTTTTTAAATAAGAAGAATCTTTTTTTCGGTGAGTAACTGTGACATCAGAGAATAGTGATTAAAAATGCTGTCACCCAAAACTTGTGAGATTTCTGTTTCTTTAATAGAATGTAAAATGATTTCAGTTCTCTTAATGTAGATTTACTTGCCAAGTATAGTCTTTTACCTTAAAATGAGTAGTTTAAAATTGTGATAATGTAAATTCCTACTACTCTTTAATAGTATATGGGAAAATTATGTTAAAATGTAATTGCCTATAGGAGGATACAAACCCCTTTCTTTTTGTGCCAAACTGTACAAAGTTGTTATTCTTAAAAACTTGAAAAGGTCTGTGATTTCATTAATGTGGGTACTCACTCCGCAGTTACTAATTATGACTCCTCCTTGCTTTCATTGGTCATTTCATGATTTGCTGCAGCCACAAATTCATCTCCCAACCTTCTGATAATAAACCCCTCTGAATTTAACTAGACTGATCCTTGAGCAGTTGCCTGTTTCTAGACCCTTTTTAGATTAACATTACGTGTCAGAGTTAGTGATCCAGACTCATAACCATCAAGAATCCAGGGTCACTGACCTCCATGTGATGAGTTGGTATTGGAAGAAAACTTGTAGAGGAAAATTCTCATAAAATGGAAGAAATTTTGGTAATAGTAGAATTTATTTAGAACTGTCTTGCCAGTTTTGATTTGGTATAAATGTTAATTTTGTATGTGTTTTAAATTTCAGATGGTCATTTAGAAAAGTAGAGGTTAACGGGCACAGAAGATCATCATGTTTCTCAAGCTGTGAAGAAGTAGCTTTCATTTGGTGCAAATGTACATCATTTGATTTCCATATGTACATATTAAATTGCTATTTATTGTGATTTAACAATATATAAATAATATGTATATTTTGTAGAAATGTAAGTTTTGGGAACATATTTAGCTGTCTCATGTTTTTCTAAATTTGTGAATAAAGGTTGACTTTATCATTTAGCTTACTGAATTTGACTTGAGAAAGATAAGTATATTGTTTTTAGACAGTATTTTAGGAGACTCCAAACTAGTGGAAAGTGAAAATGCTTTCATTTACCATAAAATTCCCCTCTGTGCCTTCTTTGTCCCTACTGGGAAACAAGGCTGAACATAGCTGTGTGTTTTTCAACGTTCTTCATTTTGCTGTATTTTCTCATCCAACTAAAATTATGTAATATAACAAAATTACTTCAAAATACCTACATTTACATATATAAATATATAGGTAGCAAAATTAAAAGGCAAAGGTAATAATAATAATATTAAAACCAGGAAAACTGATTAATCAGTAATTTGTAAAATGTAAGGTGATTTTCCAAGAAGCTGTTTTTTTCAGCTTTTGTTAAGGTTTTTTAAATTACCATTGAATATGATTTTTTAATATCTCAGCAATTTCTTACCTTAGAAAAGTTTATGCTTTTGTTGGAAGGGTTAATTTAGAAGTTGGACAAAGAACTAGCTCTTTCAATTTCCATTCAGTGAAACAAAGGGCCTATTTTGTAGTATGGACATGTGAAATTGCAGGCATGAAGGGACAGGCTTTGAGTTAAAATACCAGGATGTGTCTACCTGTTAAAAAGATGTTGTTTAGCTTTTATATAATTCTCAATTGTATAAAGGATGAAATATCAAAGTGCCTACCCCATACTCACATCTGGAAATCTTCATTAAAATTTATTTTGGCTTCAAAATAGGAAGTATTATGAAATTTTCTTACAAAGCTAGCTCTTCTAAAATTTGCTTTCTCACGTATTCATTTGTTACATGTATAAAGTGGAGTTAACATTTTCCCAGTTGTCATGGAATGTATCTGATTGCTACAAAGTATGGTGCCTTACTTTCAGAAGTTACATGCAATATAATAAAAGTAAAATTTTGGAAGGTATCTCTTTGTTCTAGAGAAATTTTAGCCTAACTGGAAACTCTTGTTTCTTAATGTTAAGGGCTAGTTCAAACCAAACTCCTTCCAGTTGAAAATACTTTGTACTGATTTTATGTTTGATGATAGTAGGTGATGTTTAGCATTTTGGGATTAACAGATCAAAAGTGTTACCAGAATACAAAAAAATTTTAAACTGCTACCATTAGCCATAATCTTGTAAGTCGTCAGATTTTAAATAGATCAGTCTACTGTACAGTTAAGAATTTTAAGTACAATTGATTGAATAAAACCATATGAAGATGCAAGAGAACTAGTTACTATTTTAAAATGAAAATTGTACTATGTGATTACAATTATGAGTTCCATTATGTTTTATGTGGGAGTATAAATGTCTGGATTCTTCCCAGAAGATTAACTTCAGGCTTCAAGGATGTTGGCAGTGAACGCTGAATTTACCTCAGGAATTGCAATCATGTAGGACCAGAGTCAGTCAAAATTGAGTACTGTAATTTTGGATACAGATGTCAAAACATCAAAATGGAAACTAAATAGAATTGTGTCACATATAGACCCTAGTGCTTTTGGATGCAATGTTTTGTAACAGTTTTTATACTAAGATGACTAATAATTTAAGTGTATCTTTCAATAAATGAGGTTAAAGCACCTTTTTGTAATCTTTGTGTAGCCTTTGTTTAAAAGGACATTTGTTTTACTGTTCTGGCCTCAAGTCACACACTATTTTGGAATAACTCTAAACTAGATTTTGGCTATATTTTATCATTCCAGAATCCCCTTAAGCCCAGTCATTGTATGATTATGTGAATTAAGTTAGAACAGCTTTTTTTCCCCCGGATTCTTTAAATGAATTTTTGTTTATCTTAATCATGGCCACTAAATTTACTTGCTGTGTTTAGGATAGTTGGCACCAAGCATAGTCTTTACTTTAAATGAGGCCCTGTTTTTAGAATAGATAAATGGGTAAGACACTAAAAAGGAGGACTTCATCTAGAAGGAAGAGATGTTAACTGTATAGAAGTCTTTTTAATCAGCTCACCATAATCATTAATCCTTTTTATTAATAAAGCATTGGTGGTTTTTAGTGGCAATTGAGAGATTTTATCAGTTCTGAAGGAGGTATAGGATTAATGGGGAGAAAATTAGTACAGAGTATACTCAAAAGGAAATATGGAAAAAGTAAAGACTAAACAGTTGGGGAAGATGGATTGAACTGGTAGCCAAGATGGGATTTTAGGGTTATGAGAAGCTTAAGTCTGACAAATCAACAGGTTTGGGACTTACCTATAGAGATGTGTTCATGGTCATGGAACATTTGAAGTACCTTTTTTTTTTTGGTTAGGCAGTGGGGTTAAGTGACTTGCCCAGAGTCACACAGCTAGTAAGTGTTAGGTGTCGGAGGCCGGATTCGAACTCAGGTCCTCCTGAATCCAGGGCCGGTGCTCTATCCACCGCGCTACCTACCTGCCCCTGAAGTACCTTTTGATTTTAAAAGGGTATATAAATAAAGGACTAATTTCTAATTGCTTTTTGTTTTTAAATTTTTTTTTTATTTTAGGCAATTGGGGTTAAGTGACTTGCCCTGGGTCACACAGCTATTAGGTGTTAAGTGTTTGATCTGAGGCGGGATTTGAACTCGGGTCCTCTTGACTTCAGGGCCAATGCTCTATCCGCTGTGCCACCTAGCTGTACCTCTGCTTTTTAAACAGTCAATAAGCTAGTACTGGATCACTTCTTAGGTGTTGTCACCCTGTTGTCATTTGGTTCTGTGTCTCCTCTCCTTTGTCATTTATTGATTGTTAAAGTGAATTTAAGCTAATTTTGTCCTAGGATTTTTTGATATAATATTTGGAGATAACCTGGATTCCTGTAATATTAGGGTGAGTCATCACTTACTAAGTAAACATGGGATTATAGGTCTAAACTGGAAGAGATCTCAAAGGCCATCTAGTGTAGCCCCATCTTTTTCTTCCAGTTGAGAAAACAGGCCCAGAGACGTTAAGTAACTTGCCTCAAAGCATTTATAAAACAGTATTAACAGTATGGAAGTTCTGGGGATCTACTACAGACTGAAGAGGAGCACATTTGAAAGCAAGATTTTTGGCTTGTTAAGTATTTGTCATGCATAAAGAGCCCAGGGGCAGCTAAGTGGAGCAGTGGATAGAACTCTGGCCTTGGAGTCAGGAGGGTTTGAGTTCAAATGTGGGCTTAGACACTTGACGCTAGCTATGTGACCCTGGGCAAGTCACTTAACCCCAAATTGCCTTGCCAAAATGAAAAATAAAGAGCCCAGACCATTCCTATACGACTCTTAGGATAGATGGATCTGAGTGCTGATAGCTTTATTTCCTGAAATATTTTTTTCTCAATTACATGTAAATTTCAACATTAATTTTTAAAAAATTTTGACTTCCAAATTCCCTCCCTCCATCCTCTTAACTCCTTGAAAAGGCGTGCATTTTGATAAAGCTTATATATATGCAGTCATGCAAAACATATATTAGCCATGTTACAAAGGAAAATCCACAATACCCCCCAGCCGCCCGCCCCGAAAAAGTAAAAAAAGTATGCTTCAATCTACATTCAGACTCCATCAGTTCTTTCTCTGGAGATGGGCAGCATTTTTCATCATGTCCTTCAGAATTGTCTTGGATCATTGTGTTGCTAAGAATAACAAAGTTTTTCACAGTCATCATACAACGTTGCTGTTACCGTTTACGATGTTCTCCATAAGCTCACTACTCTTTGTATCAGTTCATGTAACTCCAGTTTTTTTTTTTAAAGCATCCTGTTCATCATTTCTTATAATGCAATAGTATTCCATCATAATCATATGCCACAACTTGTTAAGCCATTTCCCAATTAATGGGCATCTCCTCAATTTCCAATTCTTTGCCTCCACAAAAAGAGCTGTTATAAATATTTTTGTAAATGTAGGACTTTTTCCCTTTTTTATGATCTCTTTGGAATACAGACATAGTAGTGATATTGCTGGGTCAAAGGCTATGTAGTCTTACCCTTTGGGAAAAGTTCCAAAGTGCTCTCTAGAATTTTTGGGTCAGTTTCACAACTACATCAACAGTGCATTAGTGTCCTAGTTTTCACACATCCCCTCTAACATTTGTCATTTTCCTTTTCTGTCGTATTAGCCAATTTGATAGGTATGAGGTGGCACTTCAGAGTTGTTTTAATTTGCATTTCTCCAATAGTGATTTAGAGCATTTTTAAATATGACTATAGATAACTTTGATTTCTTCTTTTGGAAACTACCTGTTCATATCCTTTGACCATTTATCAATTGGGGAATAACATGTATTCTTATACATTTGATTCAATTCTATATATACATATATATATATATACATATATATTTATTTATTTGAGAAATGAGGGCTTCATTAGAGAAACTTACTGTAAAAAAATTTTTCGACAGTTTTCTGCCTTCTTTCTAATCTTGGCTGCATTGGTTCTGTTTGTGCAAAACCTTTTAAATTTAATATAATCAGAATTACCCATTTCACATTCCACGATATTCTCTATCTCTTGTTTGGTCATAAATTTTTCCCCTATCCATAATCTGACATGTAAAATTTTCCGTGCTCCCCTAATTCGCTTATGATATTATCCTTTATGTCTAAATCATGAATCCATTTTGGCCTTATCTTGGTATACAATGTGAAATGTTGGTCTATACCTAGTTTCTACCAAATTGCTTTCCAGTTTTCCCATCATTTTTTGCCAATCAAATAGTAAGTTCTTGCCCCAAAGTTAGATCTTTGGGTTTTTCAAACACTAGATCACTGTGGTCATTTACTGCTGTACATTGTATACCTAATCTAGTCCACTGATCCACCACTTTTATTTCTTAGCCAGTACCAGATTGTTTGGATGTTTTCCATTTTATAATACAGTTTGAGATCTGGTATAACTAGACCACCTTCCTTCACACTTAAAATTAGTTCCCTTGATATTCTTGACCTTTTGTTCTTAAGACTCAGATGAATTTTGTTCTCATTTTTTCTAGCTCTCTAAAACAATTTTTTTGGTAATTAGATTAGTATGACACTGAATAAATAAATTAATTTAGGTAGGATTGTCATTTTATTATATTGGTTCAGCCTACTCATGAGCAATTAATATTTCTCCAATTGTTTAGATCTTACTTTGTATGAAAAGTGTTTTGTAATTGTGTTCATATATTTCCTGGGTTTGTCATGGCAAGTAGACTTCCAAGTATTTTATATTGCCTGCAGTTATTTTAAAATGAATTTTTCTTTCTATCTCTTCCTGCTGGACTTTTTTGGTAACATATAGAAATGTAGATTATTTATGTGGATTTATTTTATATCCTACAACTCTGCTGAAGTTATTATTTCCACTAATTTTTTAGTTGATTCTCTAAGTATACCATCATATCATCTGTAAAGAATGATAGCTTTGTTCCCTCATAGCCTATTCTAATTTCAATTACTTTTTCTTCTCTCGTTGCTATAGCTAGCATTTCTAGTACAATATGATTTAATTTAATTTTCATTGGTGATGAATTCACCCTTTTATTTTTGATGCTAAAATTTGATTTTCTTCTTTTTTTAAATCAAATTAACCAATGGTTTATCTATTGGTTGTTTCATAAAGCCAGTTCCTAGTTTTAATCAGTAGTTCAAGGAACTTCTTAATTTCCATTTTATTAATCTCTCCTTCGATTTTCAGGATTTCCAATTTGATGCTTAATCAGGGATTTTCAATTTGTTCTTTTTCTAGTTTTTCAGTTGCATACCCAATTCATTAATTTTCTCTTTTTCTATTTTATTATTGCAAGTGTTTAAAGATAAACATTTTCCCCTATGAACTCTTTGACTGCATCCCATAAATTTTAGTATGTTGTCTCATTGTTGTCATTTTCTTTTATGAAATTATTGTTTCTATGATATGTTCTTTTATCCACTCATTCCTTAGGATTAGATTATTTAGTTTCCAATTAATTTTTAACATGCTTCCATGGCTCTTTATTGAACATAATCTTTATTGAATTGTAAAGAATACCCTTAATATTTTTGCTTTTCTGCATTTGGTTGTGAGTTTTTAATGCCTTACTACATGGTCAGTTTTTGTGAAGTTGCCATGTATAGATGAGAAAAGGTATATTCCTTTCTATATTCCCATTCATTTTTTTTCAGAGGTCTATCATATCTAACTTTTTCTAAAATTCTATTCATCTCCTTAACTTCTTTCTTGCTTATTTTGTGGTTAGGTTTATCTAGTTCTGAGAGGGGAAAGTTGAGGTCCTCTACTATTGTAGTTTTACTGTCTTTTTTTCCTGTAACTCATTTAACTTTTCCTTTAAGAATTTAGATGCTACACCATTTGATTCATACACATTTAGTATTGATAGTACTTCATTGTCTATGGTACCTTTTTTTTTGTTTTTTGTTTTTTGTTTTTTTGCAAGGCTATTGGGGTTAAATGACTTGCCCAGGGTCACACAGCTAGTAAGTGTTCTATGGTACCTTTTAATAAAATATAGCTTCCCTGCTTATCTCTTTTACTTAGGTCTATTTTTGCTTTTTCTTTGTATGAGATCACGATTGCTACCCCTGCTTTTTTTTTTTTAACCTCAACTGAATCATAATAGATTCTGCTCCAGCCCC